CTTTGTGAATAGACCCTCAAATCTTTTGTATGCCCATAATCCACAAAAAGAACACACCGAAATACCTGAGCACTGCGAGAATAAAGAAAGACGTGTATTGACAATACAATTCACTCAGAAAGACAAGCTAAATGTATACACCTTCCCAGTTTGAATGGCGGTGTATTTGTGTCGTCGCCCACGTAGCCCCCGGTTGTTACCTCTCTGTTACTGCTGAGATTCTCCAAACATAGTTGCATTAATGAGCTTGGGTTCAACTGACCAATGTTCCGAGTTAGAGTAGACTGGTTTATGGAATTTTTTGGGTGACCAGTAGATTTGGTTCTGATCGAATTGTTTTCCCCTGTGTACAAGATCTGTCTTTTTAAACACTGATTATGATGTCTTGTAACTATATTCTGCAGAACCGTCAGCCCATGTCCACACTTTGCAGCTGGAAAGAGGATAGTATGTCCCTAAGTGAAGCAGATTGTACGATTACAGTCACATTGACAGATCTTTCTTAGTAAAGTACAGCTTCTCGGACTTTTTTGGAGGGTTTAATCCCGTCTGGAATAAGGTGACTCACTCTGGCAGTGTGGGTTCGAATCCCGGACGGGACTCAACCAACCAAAAACATTTGACCACTTTCTCAATGGCATTGTGAATTCATAGCCATGCCAATTTACACTTGTCAGAGGGGTACACATCTAAGTGCGTGATCTAGACGACCAATTGTCGGACGTGCGTTTTGTGGATGCGTCTGTGGCTGAGTGGGTTAGATCGCTTATTTGGGATTGTGGGTTCGAATCCCGGAGGGACACAACCGCCCCCCCCCAAAAAAAAATACAAAAAAATACGAGAATTATACTCAACTAAGAAAGTGTTACCCCAAATACATTGTTCAAATCTAAAGTCAAAGTCAAAAGTTGATAGTTCTACGTTAAGGCTAGTTAACCTTGGTTAAATGGTACATTCATTGCTGAAACAAGTTACAGCGTGAAGTATGTATCTACCATACAATGCACAGATCGTTACAAATATATAGAGTTATGTATCGATGTCTATCCTTCGTCATAACACCTTACGAAAAACATGTCCTGAGCTTGGGAATAGTACTGGCATGTAGATAAATTAACATGTTTTCAGATAGTTTAAACAGTGTTGCTGTATTTGAAGCTCACAGAATCATGGTCCAATTACCCATGTTCTTGACAGGTGCGTCAGAGGAGAACGAGAACCCCAGTGTACAGGTGAAAATCATGATGTTTGTTTTGGCAATCTCAAGGCTACTTTGCACTTTGCAAAAACACATGTTTATCATTAATCTATCATGTATAATTTAAGAACACTTCAATAAGTTTTCCACATATCCAAAATTCTCCTGAAGATAACTGGTTACAATTCCAAGCAGAAACGTTAGAGAAATTGCCTTACTGTGTCCTCGTGTTTGTGAGCATTTCAAACTCGACCAGCACAAATATGCCATAGCTCGGCAGTCTAATGTTGTGAAAATCAATTGGTGGAGCTTCTTGGAAAAAGTCTTTGTTCGAGGAATGTCAGAACGCAGTATCACGTGTGGTATTTTGTATTCAAGGGAGTCATTTCTTCAATGTGATCTACAGGCTGTGTTATGATATCACCAAGGAGACAATCTTTTGATGCCGTTAATTTGTCTGACAACGACTGGACCCCACGATTTCTCCAGTGAAAGTGTCGTTCAGTGAGTTAAAAGCATACAGTGTGATGTTTGTTGGTTGGTTTGATTCGTGTGTAACGCCGCACTCATCTATATTCCAGCTTTATGACGGCGGTTTGTAAATAATCGAGTCTGGACCAGACAATCCAGTGACTGACGCAATGAGCATCGATCAACGCAATTAGGATACGATGACATGCACCAACCAAGTCAGTGAGCCTGACCACCCGATCCCGTCGCGGAAAGCATGGGTTGCTGAAGACCTATTTCAACCCAGATGTTCAAGGGTCCCTCACAATATGTAATAGTCCAACGAACTCTAAACGCCATATCTTTAAAGTTTGGTTAGGAATTCATATGCAGATTCATTATTACACAGCTTTGTAGCATTATTGGCGACAAACGTTAAATCACAATCCCGCATTAAGACTCTAAGATCTACAATTGTTTAGGGTACATTTCTTGACCGTGGGAATAATATTGGCATTAAAATAATTTTCACATATTGAAATTTTCCAAATCACTTTTTTGGAAATCAAGTGAAATACACAAATTTGAATCCGCTACCTGCTATCCTGGCAGAAATGTTATGTCATATATGCCGGAATAATAGAATTGAAAACAATTAGTAAGTGTTCTATGGTATAGGTAATGATGCAACATAATTTTATGATGCAACATATTATGATGTGAACTAAAAGATGTTACGTTTCACGTGGTTATTTCAATCCATATTTCAGGTGTTCAGATTGATTCTTACATACATTTATTTACTACGTCAAACTTAAAACTTGAGAATCATTAATGCAAAAAAGTTCAACGAGCTTTGACATTAACAAACACAGATTAAACGATACTCGTCACGACAACTTCTAAAGTCAAACCTCTCAAATGCGAGTGTGTTTGGGGATGGTAAATATCCTGCATTAGGAATACACATTGTATTTAGTGAGCCTTGGCGAGCTAAATACATATGGGTTTTTTTCCTGATAAAGGATATTTACCATCCCCAAACACACAAGCGTGATAACCTCTTTATCATATAATGTCATTCTTTAATTCTGTGCTTCAAAATCGCTCACAAACATTACCGAAACATTGCGAGTTTTCCTGGAATGCGCTCATTAATATTTATTACATCACCGGGTAAGTGATGTGTCAGTCGGACAGTGACAGTAGCCAATATAGTTCCAACTGAAATCTGTTTCTTATACAGTGGCAAACAACATATACGCAAAACAACAATTGTTTTTAATTGCCTTTTGCGGTAATCCATCGGTCTGTCCGCTAGAGTAACTGCCCTTTGTCAAAAGTAAGCTACTCTAACCCTAGTCTATGAGACGTCACGACCACGGTCAGACGTTGTTGACAGTCGGTCTGTCCTGTCATAACGTTAAGAAGTGTAGTCAGATGTACACACAGCGACAAAACGAAACAAGGTAACAATTCAAACATATTTCGGCCAAATCCGACTATTTTAATTTGTGGAGAAGGTTTCAAGCCGCAGAGGTCTACAAGCACAGATATGGCTACTGATCCCCCTTGGCTAGGCCTCGTGCCCTCGTAAAATTGTTTCGAAATTTATATCCCCAAAGATGTCAAAACTTATAAAATGCCTTAGCTACGTCACATTTAGACACTGATTTTCAGTATGTTAGACTGTTCTTTTGATGATGTTAGCATTTATCCCTGTAGTTTATCCAGATTCCCGATGGTTAATTCTGACTCGATCGCCGAATGACGAGGGTGACGCCATGTTTGTTTATAAACAGTGAAAGTAGTCCCTACTTGACCTTTGCTATTTGCATCTCTATCCGCATATGACCCCAACGGATATAGTTTTTATCCGTTGCCTTCATCCTGCCGAGAAACCTACTACATGTATATGATAAAATTAAGTATCTACATTTTCAAGTAGTTATACATATGTAGCCTACATATGTTCATTGGTTGAATCTACAATCAGATTGAATAATGCTTCATTATAAATGAGGTAAATAAAAAAGAGGTATCAATATATCAATTTGATACCTCTAAATTAAGCTTTTTCTCTCAAAAGCGCCTATAAATACGTAGATAGCCTAAATCTCAATCCATATTTGATGGCTGTCGTCAGCCCATCACGATTCTATCGGTTCGATATCAGAATTTTATGTGACTTTCTGTGGCGACGATATTGACGTCTTAGCCCTCAACACTAACTGGCTTGATGGTGACATGTCAACACCTGACAAAGGCAAATTGTTTGCATCTTCACTCTGACGGCCACTGACAGCAGTAGGTAGTGCCAGGGATGTCATCAACTTGAAATGTTTCGGGTTGAAGGGCATTCAGCTTGAAGTCGTATTACTCTTACCTCAACTGATACAGAATGAGTGAGTGAGTGAGTATGGTTTTACGCGGCTTTCAGCAATATTCCAGCAATATCACGTTGGGTACACACGAAATGGGCTTCACACATACCCATGTCAGGGTATGTCCTTAGAGATATATCTAAATAGCCTAATGAATCTAATGCCTCAGTAAATCTATCAAGCAGTTTTATGGCAGACCTGTGGAGGACATGTCTCATGATAACCCGCTAACATTCAAAACATGGTATCATCAAACCGTGTGGTTCAAATTCACACCACTCATCCAACAGTCCAACACCGAGTCGACAATACAGGCTGGAATGAGTAAAGAAGTGTTCAGGGAGCTTGGCACTGTCACGTCATATGTATACAATGACAAAGTGACTTGAGCCCTCGTAATTCACAAATTGAGTCTGCCCCAGTAAATGTTTCCAACAGTGTTATGGTAGACATGTGGGGGGAATTTCCAAATGTGATGCATCATTAATAAAATTGATGTCCGATGCAATTCATATTTTGACTTATAACACATGTTCCCAAGTTTCTTCAGTTGAACAATTGAGTTACCTTTGCATGTGTTTGTGCCACCGGGGGCAGGATATGATCACCTATTTTCAAACACATGGTATCATCTCAGTTGGAGGATATAGACCAATCACGTAGACCTTTCAGAAGTATTCATTTCTTCTTGTGGCTGTAAGCCCACTTCGTACGTATTCTGTGTGAACAAAAGCTGTCAGACGGGTGATTGTTATTGTTGGTGTGCAGTCCATAGCAACAAGTAATCGATCATGCGAGAGACATGTAGGGCGCCTTAGACACGCCACTGCTAAGTGAGTTTACACTTGCCTGTATAACATGCCGTGAAGATATCAGTAGTTTTGAGTGTGGAATTCACCTTCTGTTTTGGAAGGATAAACATATCTTACCACAGTTACAAGATCTATCATGACAATCAGTGTCCCTTTGCAGTTCCCTGGGTGCTTGATTCGTTAATGGCTCAAGTCAAGGCTCAAGGGGAAATAACAGCTTCTATGCAGGAAATGATGTCAGGTATGTCCTTTGCCGAATTTTCTAATCATTGTCCAACATGTCGAAATGTTAGTAGTTCGAGTATAGTTTGATTCACACACATCAAATGAGTTTTGAATTCGTCATGTATAAGAACCAAGGCTGAGAAGAGGGATACAGTATAAACGTTGGATCTATTATATTCAGTTAATTTATGGCGGTGTGTTCTGCATCTGCCTTCATTTCATGAAATTGTTTATGAGCTCAAACGATTATATTTGTAATCCACAGGTAACATGTATATTGTAATTGTAGGCAGCAAAATCTCTGTACTTGTATGTGGCAAAGGCAATTAGGAGTTAACATACCGTTTTTAGTTTCAACACCTTGATTTTTGGGTCTGGACTCGATAGTTTGAGGTCAACCGTCACAGGGCAGGAGTATTGCTTGGCGCAGGTGGGTGGTCACCTATCTGTTCTGTGATATTGTTTTTCTATTATTAAACACATATCACTGAGTTGTAGAATAGCAACATAAACAATAAACATCTGGACAAGTTCACAAGCAACCCTAATGTCTGCTTATAAAATAGGTCACTAGTTATCTGCACCATTTGTCATCACCTGGTTTTGCTCACAACGTTTGTCTCACTTTAATATGTTTCTAGTTTCAGGACTGTGCTCCTATTGTTATCATTCAACGACATTGTGAACGACTAGTGAGTTATGCCAGACATTTTAGAAGCAAATAATCCAGAACGACACAAGCCTTAACTGTTAAAGGGTAATGTTATAATTCGAGATTGCTGTGATCCTAATGTTGTGAACATTGCAAAAGAATTGTGACGTGCACCAGCCAGTTAACAGACATGAAAGACTATTGGGACTACCACACAGGTTTTGCGAAAAATGTCAAGTTGCACTCGATGCAATAATGTGGTGACGAAATACAAGAGACAAAGTACTGACAACGAGTTACTTTCAATCCACACAGAGCGGCAAATATATTTACCGAAGTCACGAGAAAAGAAAAAAACACGTGACGAACTTCTTAAAAGACTTTCAGCGTTACGCAACAGTGGTGGTGGTGTTTTGTTGATTCATGTAAACGGAACAAGAGCTGGGGACAGATGCCTGAAGTATTTTGACGAGTTTGTCGGCAATATAGTGACCCGCTTGCTGGAACCCGGAGAAGTATATGCCAACACCTACAGACGTCAGTGGTTACAGGATATATTGGATGACAGTGCTGGATTTATTCATATACGCGTTGCAGCTGTGAAAGGTGTAGCTACTGTAGATTTCAATACAAAGCTTGGCAAGGATTATGAGAATGTAATTCCCACAACACAACAACTACTCACCGTACGATCACATATTCTCAAAGCTACTGACCCTGTACTTAGAAATCTACCACCTGACAAACAACAGTTACATGAAGATATTCACATTCAGTTAAAAGGCTTTCCACCACCACATACCCTAACTGAAGCAATACAGAAAGATGCCAACGACTTTGTGGAGTACCTGTGGAATAAGCTTAAATTAAAGGATAGCATAACTTCTATGTCAAAGATTCCTGAAGGTGGATCCTTCTATTTTGGAATAGGTGAGAAGAGTACACCTGAGACTGACACATATAAAACAATTATTCCAGATGTACATGGATTTAAGTTAAAAGTGGGTGAGGGAGAGTTTAAGAAAACACTCAAGTCAAAGCTACAAAACTGTGTACTATGGGGTCGAAGTGAGAACACTTTCACTGATGTCCCTTCTGATCTGATTGCTATTGCATTTCACCGAAAGCCATTTGATCCTCGGAAATGTGTTCTAGAGGTGGCTGTGAAGTGTGTTGAAGGTGTTGTGTTCTGTGACAGCCATGGACCTAGAACATACGTGATAGAAAAAGGACAAATTTGTAGAATGAAAGAAGATAATTGGTCAGAAGGAATATTGAAAACTCATACAATTCTTAGATGCTAACTCTGTTTTGAAATCACCTGAAGCAGTTTGTTCCCAACATGTCCGGAGAGAACAGTGAGTCCAAGGCTTCTTTGGGTTACATTCATCATTCAAAGGGTACACCAGGGGATAATCATGAAGTCCAGATGGCTCATGATGAAGCAACTGATGACAGCAGTTCTCTTGGATCGAGTCCATATCAGTCTGATGAAGAAATCATCATGAGTCTGTTTGCCCAAGTAAATGACTCCACGTCAAGTTCTGACGACCAGGAGCCACTTCATGCAGGTATCACAAAACAGAGCTTATCAGTTCAGAACCTGAAGGGCGCGTAACTGGCAATTCAGGTCGATGCTTTGTTAAATGGTAGTTTGCAGGCCACACATATTTTGCACAGATGTACGATGTTATGATTGTTTGCAACAATTCATTCATTGAACTTTCACACGTTTATGCATATTAAAAACATAACAAACCTATTTATCAATGCATTTACACATATTTCTGTAATTCCATATTATATTTTCCCTCGGTGGGAATTAGCAGAGACGAACGAAACTTAATACTTGATCAGACAGACCTCAAGAGGGAAACAGATCCTGGTAAGTTGTTTAGAGAATACATTACGAGCTAAGGGGAATAATTATTATGGAGTATGTATCACTACTGAGCTATATATCCCTACTGAGCTATATATCCCGACTGAATGTAACATGTGTGATCCCGAGACTTTATGATTATGTTATTATGTTATCTGAACCAAATTCATCAGTTTGATCAGTTGAAGCAGTAGGATTACTTTGCTATTGTACATGAACATATAACAAGCATGACATTTTAGTAGGAGAAGGTAAGATCCTTTACGTCATCATCCAATGTGCCGTGTGTTGAAGTGTACTGACGGGTGAAACCATCTGTGACTGTGTGTTTATGTTCTGCCGATGTCTGGATCTATGACTCAATTGTTTTTAAACATTCACCAGGTTTTTTTTTTCATTAGGTTTAACTGAACATGGTCGTGCACATAGTGATCTGGGTGTAGTTTTGTAGAATCAAATTGTGTCCAAAGAGTTCAATCATTTCTCTCCCACTTAATAATAATAATTGACATTCCAGCGTTCTGATTTCAGTTCAGTTTATTGCTACTGAATTCCAAAACTTAACTAATGTAGTCAATGTTTCAAAACAAGTTAAAATAATTTATGAGCTAGGAGGAATTAAGGATTATCATAACACATCCAAGGGTGATTGTCTAGTGTTTTCCTCTGCACGTAGCTTACAGTTAATCTCCACACAAATGCTTAGGAATTCATGTTTCTATTAAAAATCACATGATGTTATTTTTTCTTTTGAACGGTCTATCTTTATTATACATAAGCATACCATGTGACCATGTTTAGGATAGTTTTATTCTTTCAGGTCACAGAATATTTCCCCAATCTGCTAAGAAGTATTTGGAGCATCTTGTTACCAGATTAAAGGTGATTCCAGTAGAAATCAGCGACCAACAAGTCTTTTATCAGAGAGACCCCAAGAGGGCAAGAGATCCTGGTAAGTTGTTTCGAGAATACCTTACGAGCTAAGGGGAATAATTATTATGGAGTATATATCCCTACTGAATGTAACAAATCCCGAGACTTGACATGACCTAATTTGAATACACATGAACATATAACAATCATGACATTTTAGTAGGAGAAGGTAAAATCCTTTACAATCATCGTCTAATGTGACGTGTGTTGAAGTGTATTGACGGGTGAAACCATCTGTAATTGTGTGTTTATGTTCTGCTGATGTCTAGATCTATGACTCCATTGTTTTTAAACATTCATTAGGTTTTCGTGTCATTAGGTTTAACTGAACATGGTCGTGATCGGGTGTCTGGTTGTACATTTGTAGAATAAAATTGTGTCCAAAAAGTTCAATTATTTCTCTCCCACTTAATAATAATAATTGAAATTCCAGCATTCTGATTTCCATTCAGTTTATTGCTATTGAATTCGAAATCTAAACTAGTGTAGTCAATGTTTCACACAAGTTCTATTTTCTTAGGCATTCCTTGTTCTTTGTGGGTTTACATTACTGTTAATTTGCACACAAATGTCTGAGGAATTCATGGTTCTACAAAATAACATATATACAGATTCATGCTGCTTTTTTGTTTTGAAAGACTTTTTTAAGATTTATCAGAAGATCATGTGTCGATTGACTAAGATAGATGTGTAGCTCATTGTATATTAATATTGATCATCTTTTACTTTCAACAGCCCATCCACTCTATCAAATGTTAATGATATTTTTATTCTTTCAGGTCACAGTATATTTCCCCAGTCTGATAAGAAGTATGTGGAGCTTAGTTTGCAGAACCCCGGTGACAAAGTAGAAGTGATTTCAAGAGAAATCCAGAATGTTCTACACCAACATGTTGGTTGGGCCTACATAGCACATCAGATGGCTCATACTGAATGTCGCAAACTACCTACCATGTCCATCTGTGACGTGGCTATCATTAGAGCCACACAGCCACTGCACATCCTGACATTTGTAGAGGACGGAGGCAAACAGGAGCATGCAGTGGAGTACAATGCCCAGCTGACGAGAAGCATCATGGGTTTCATCAAGAAGGAGACAGGTGTGTCACTTGATGTCGTATATGGAGTTGTACCTGCGTCCACGTGGAAGGATGAGAAGATGTTTAAGGAGAAGCTAGAGCGCTTAGAAACTGTAGCCAGACGGAAGGCCTTACCTGGATACCTCCACATGGATACCGAGAGATACACAGCCATAACCAAGGCACTCGCTGACCTTTATAGTGAACCAGGGGTGAAGGTAAATTATCATAAGGCCTCCAAAAGTATGAATATGGTATACAAGTATGCTGTTTTGGAATTTATATCATGATAGTTGAATGTAGTATAACATATAACGTGCCTTATTTCTATTATCCAAAACAGACAAAGGAACCGACAAAAGCAGTTACAATGTACGATATATGCATGACGAGTTTCCACAAATGTAGATTTCTAAATGAATTTCCTCATAGAGTATTTTGATATAGTACACATGCAGGTTTTCACAGTCAAAACAAGTTTTCAAAACATGGATAGTGCTTCACTGATTGTATGCCTGAATACACCTCCATGGCAATGCCACATAAAGACATAACGATTATCTCTAAAAGTGTCATTTATCCATTGTAGGACCAGCTTGAGAGCGAGATAATTATTGAATCCCTTGATCGTGACGGAAAAGGTGTGTTTTCATATTCTACATAAAGCTTAGAATTGTTAAAAGAATTGTAAAAAGAATTGTTAAGATGTCTCTTAAAGCGTTCGCTCGTCACACCGAAGACTTGGGTTCGATTCCCGACAAGGGTACACTGTGTGAAGCCCATTTTTGGTGTCCCCCGCCGTGATATTGCTGGAATATTGCTTAAAGTGGTGTAAAACCATAGTCGCTCACTCACTTGGATTTGGATGGATGAAGGATGATGGATGGCGAGTGATGATCGTTAGGTGGATAACTGGTGATATACTGTGATGGATGATGGTGGTGACTGATGGATGAAGGATGATGGATGAGTGATGAGGGTAAGGTGGATGAATGGTGATATACTGTGATGGATGATGGTGGTGACTGATGGATGAACGATGATGGATGAGTGATGAGGGTAAGGTGGATGAATGGTGATATACTGTGATGGATGATGGTGGTGACTGATGGATGAACGATGATGGATGGCGAGTGATGACCGTTAGGTGGATGAATGGTGATATACGTTGATGGATGATGGCGGTGACTGATGGATGAACGATGATGGATTGAGAGTAATAACCGTTAGGTGGATGAATGGTGATATATTGTGATGGATGATTGGGTTGACTGATGGATGAACGATGATGGATTGAGAGTAATAACCGTTAGGTGGATGAATGGTGATATATTGTGATGGATGATTGGGTTGACTGATGGATGAACGATGATGGATTGAGAGTAATAACCGTTAGGTGGATGAATGGTGATATATTGTGATGGATGATTGGGGTGACTGATGGATGAACGATGGTGGATTGAGAGTAATAACCGTTAGGTGGATGAATGGTTATATACTCTGATGGATGATGGTGGTGACTGATAGATTGAACGGTGATGCATGGCGAGTGATGAGGATTAGGTGGATGAATGGTTAGCGCTGATGGATGAGTGATGGATTGAAGGGGCTGTGTTCAAAGTAACATTATATACCTATGTTTCAGCTTATCTCTTGGGCAAATTTCTAAACCAAAGTGAAACAGATTCTGGCCTCGGTAAGTATATTCTATTATTTATACTTAAACTCGATAACTATTTGAGAGTTATTTATGACCTTTCACTATTCATGTAAACCTTTCAGCATTATATCAATACTTAATCATGACATTAGCTTTCAAGGCAGTAGGGGGAGCATTCTGATGTGTCACTCACATCTGCATTTGCATCATGCTACCTTTCATCTTTCCTTTTACAGGCCATGATAACAAGCAAGTAAGTGAATCTTATGACATCATATCAGTTGTTACATCCATCATGCAATCAAAGTACATAAATGATCCATTAAAGCCAAAAATGCACTCAAACTACTCCAAGTAACATATCTAGAATTGTAGGGGCGGTCGGGTAGCCTAGTGGTTAAAGCGTTTGCTCGTCACTCCGGAAACTCGGGTTCGATTCCCGACATGGGTACAATGTGAGAAGCCAATTTCTGGTGCCCCCGCAGTAATATTGCCTGAATATTGTTAAAATCAGCGTAAAACAATATTCACTCACTCACTATTTATTATTGTACTGAACAAAACGTTTTCTTCCTTCCGTTAACATATCGTTTGCATCTTTACTACAGGAAAGGAAGATAGAGACACAAGATGCAGAAGGTCAGTGGCACCATACTATATGTACATAAACAAGTTCCACCGACACACAGAATAGTGAACCTAGAAAAATAACTTGGTAATGAGCATATTCAAATAAAAAAGGACCACATCATTGTAATGAAGAAATACAATATCTTTCAAATTAATGCACATATGCTTGATGTGTATAAAGCTTTCATTGTCTATTTGCATTTCAGATTCAGTTGGCGAGAACGAGGTTTGTAAACCTTGTTCATCTAGAAATATTTTACTGTGAAACGTATGGTCTTGATTTTAGTCCCATTCAACAAAACAGTGACAGAAATTAATTATACCTCAATTAACAAAAAGTGTGTGATTTTAACATTCACAGTTTAGTCATGGGACTGTTCTACCTTACGTGTATGTTTATCCTTTCAGCAATATCGATGGGGACCTGCAGGGGACCTTATCTGGACGCGTGAGGTTTGACATTATACTTAATCCATTGTTTATTTGCCTTTGGATTCTCTTCTTCAATTTGAATCAACGCTTAAAATGAACCAGAATTTTGGGGAATTACTAGATTTTCAAATCACAATAACACCTCTACCTGAAACATCTGATTTGATGGTATCATCGCCAAAGAAACTAATATTTAGTTACAAATAGTGTTGTTGTTGTTTATCATTAACTGTAGACGTTTTAAAATAATAAAATATGTAAATAAAACCAGTACATGTTTGAAAACGCCATGTCTATTTGAAATAAAATAAATCTATGAGTGATGTGTGTTGGAACAGGAATACCAAAGGTTGCAGAATGAATTTTTGGAGCCGCGGTATAACAGTGCAGGCAAGCTATTGAAGCTGAAGATCCTGCTGTTTGGACCAACTGGCATGGGTAAATCATCTCTTGGTAATGGGTTTAGGACAGCACTCCTCAACATGGAGCATCCTTCAAGTTACCATGCTGTGACATCTGATCCAGTATCTCTCTCCACTGGTGTAAGTTATAGTCTTTCTGTATTCAATAGGGCTAACTTGGCATTTAGTCTAATAGTACATAGTTCAATGTTGCTTTTACAAATACCCCATGTGATGACGTCAATAATGATCTGCCACAATCTACCCGTTAGTCAATGCTGCCACTATCAAGTCAAAAGTTCTATATATATACCTAGGTTCATGCATATCATCAATACATATTTTATAAAACAACCAATTCGCCCTCACGTTTCACAGAACGGTCATATGTTTTATCATTTGACATTTTCAAAGCACTGAGATAAATTTGATTATAAGAACATGTTTTCATCTTACAGTTCCAAGGAGCTCTCTACAAGAATCACTGGATATTTGACATGCCTGGTATATTCGAGTCACCCGACATTTTATCTTCGAATATCATCAGTATTTTGTCAGGGAAAGTTCCATTTAAAGCCGAGGTATGGCAAATAAAAATTAAAGTGAAACTTATTGATACATAACTTAACAATTCTACACATTTTAGTTTGTCCTCTTAACTAATGATGAGTGAGTGAGTAAGTGAGTGAGTTCGAATAGTATTCCCGGTTTATCAGCGTGTCAGCTTAATGTGGAAGGAAAGTCTTAAGAGATGCAGGTCTGGGACGTTTACCACTTCGGTGAAACTAACGATGCTAGTGCTGCAGGCCTAGAAACATAATCGGGGCGAAACGGGATTCGAACCCACAAGGGCGTACCCAAGGGACGCAACTCTGCACAACGAATCGCGGCGCCTTATAGACGATGATGAACCATTGTAATGATGACTTCATAGCTAATATTTTGTATGCATCTCTTTGAACCATGAAAAACAGTTCCATTCTATTTCAAAATCTACAAATGCTATCTCTGTTTAAAATCCAGATTGGGAAGGGTCTTGTCATGATGAATCAAACCTTCAACATGCCCCAAGACCACCACGTCTCCTGTGTGGTTGTAGTTCTGCGACATGAACATGGGGACTTTGGAAGGGAAATCCAGAGACAGCTAGAGTGCGTCCGAAAAACTGTCGCCAAAGGAGGTATGTCTCTTCTGCCTGCAAGGAACGAGCGTTAACGTCCACGTGTAGATTACTGAAAACATATCTGTGCTGAAAGAGTGATAACTCTGAGATCATCAGGACACTCATGTAGTATAACGCAAACCTACCTGTCATCCGATACCAACACTGTTGCCCCCGCTGGTGACCTCTTGACCAGGTGTCGTTTGTAGGTCATGCGCGTGAAGATCCGGGGTAGAATAGGTCTTCAGAAACCCATGCTTGCCGTAACAGGTGACTATGCTTGTCGTAAGAGGCGACTGACGGGATCGGGTGGTCAGGCTCGCTGATTTGGTTAATGCATATCATCGGTCCAAATTGCGTGGATTGTTGCTCATGATATTAATCACTGGATTGTCTGGTCCAGGCATGATTATTTACAAACCGTCGTCATATAGCTGGACTATTGCTGAGTGAGGTGTTAAACAACACACACAAAACAAAACATTCAGGATAAGTGGTGTTGAGCCCAACCTCAAACAGCGATTATTGTTTCAGGAATAAATAGTGTGAGAGGATAATTCTATTTCACATCATAATGTAGCAGCTAACAAAGTACAATATGGTAGTATGTTGATTACACATCTGCCAGGCAAAGAAGCCTATGTCTACAGCATGTGAGTCAAAGTCAAGATATACACATAGTCCTGTCCCCAGGCCATTAAATCGTTAAAAGTAAATACTGACCCAACATGTCATCTCAAAATCCATCTATTATGACAAATCTCTAAAACTGAACATAACATTAACGTATATAAGCATTCGTCCTTTTCGTTTTAATCATTGTCAAATATGGCAAACTTTCTTGTTCCTCCCCATCAAGCAACAGCTTTGCACAAGTTAAATTGATAGAAGTTCTACCTTAACGAAACATTTCTAAGACTATTTTTATTAAACAAAATCTGAAATTGATGATGAGAATACGGATGGCTGAGACATATTCTGTACCCGGATCTTCATGAGTCCCTGTATATCAGTTCCATTGTATCAGTTCCGTAAATCAGTTCCAATATATCAGTTCCAATATATCAGTCCAATATATCAGTTCAATATTTCAGTTCCAATATATCAGTTCCAATATATCAGTTCTAATATATCAGTTCCAATAAATCAGTTCCAATATATCAGTTCCACTATATCAGTTCCAATAAATCAGTTCCAATATATCAGTTCAAATATATCAGTTCCAATTTACAAGTCCAAATATATCAGTTCCAATATATCAGTTTAAATATATCAGTTCCAATATAACAGTTCTAATATATCAGTTCCAATTTATCAATCCAATATATCAGTTCTAATATATCAGTCCAATATATCAGTTCCAATTGATTAGTTCAAATATATCAGTTCCAATGAATCAGTTCCAATATATCAATTCCAATATGTCAGTTCTAGTATATCGATTCAGTATATAAGGTCCAATATATCAGTTCCAATGTATCAGTTCTAATATATCAGTTCCAATAAATCAGTTCCAATAAATCAGTTCCAATAAATCAGTTCTAATATATCAGTCCAATATATCAGTTCTATTATATATCAGTCCAATATATCAGTTCCAATAAATCAGTTTAATATATCTGTTCAAATACATCAGTTCTAATATATCAGTGCCAATCAATCAGTTCTAATATATCAGTTCAAAAAATCAGTTCTAATATATCAGTTCCAAAATATCAGTTCCAATATATCAGATCCAATATATCAGTTCCAATAAATCAGTTCCAATAAATTAGTTCTAATATATCAGTCCAATATATCAATTATTAGATATCAGTCCAATATATCAGTTCCAATTGATCAGTTCAAATATATCAGTTCCAATATATTAGTTCTAATATATCAGTTCAAATATATCAGTTCCAATATATCAGTTCCAATAAATCAGTTCCAATATATCAGTTCCAATATATCAGTTCCAATAAATCAGTTCCAATAAATCAATTCTAATATATCAGTCCAATATATCAGTTCTAATATATCAGTCAAATATATCAGTTCCAATCAATCAGTTCCAACATATCTGTTCCAATACATCAGTTCTAATATATCAGTGCCAATCAATCAGTTCTAATATATCAGTCCCAATCAATGAGTTCTAATATATCAGTTCCAATCAATCAGTTCTAATATATCAGTTCCAATAAATCAGTTCAAATATATCAGTCCAATATATCAGTTCTAATATATCAGTTCCAATATATCAGTTCTAATATATCAGTTCCAGTATATCAGTTCAAATATATCAGTTCCAATATATCAGTTCCAATAAATCAGTTCTAATACATCAGTTCCAATATATCAGTTCTAATATGTATGTGTCAATTTATCAGTTCTAATATACCAGTTCTAATATATCAGTTCCGTAAATCAGTTCCAATATTTACCACAAACATCTTACCACTGGATATTAAGATATAAAATGATCGATATATAAACTGGTGTGGAATTGAGATAACAAATATGTTGTTTCCAAAAGAAATAACACTGATGGTTTTGCTTTTTTGTTAAACTAACGCTTAATCCAGTGCAGACAAGAATTGTACAACCTATGGTGACATTAACCTCGTTCATTTTACTTGTATTATGTATTGAATGATCTTTCCAAACCATGGAATGTACACTCTCTAATCATTTATTTATTTTGTCATACTTCACGCGTTTGAATTTTGGCATCTGTTGATAGTGACACATATAGTGAGCTTTCCACTTTCTCTACTGGGCTTCTTGTCATGTTTCAGACACATCCATCCACCTGGTCCTCACCCAACTTGTATATTGGACTTGTTGTCATGTTTCAGACACATCCATCCACCTGGTCCTCACCCACCTTGTATAGTGGGCTTGTTGTCATCTTTCAGACACATCCATCCACCTGGTCCTCACCCAACTTGTATATTGGGCTTGTTGTCATGTTTCAGACACATCCAACCACCTGGTCCTCACCCACCTTGTATAGTGGGCTTGTTGTCATGTTTCAGACACATCCAACCACCTGGTCCTAATCCCCCTTGTATAGTGGGCTTGTTGTCATGTTTCAGACACATCCAACCACCTGGTCCTCACCCACATTGTATATTGGACTTGTTGTCATGTTTCAGACACATCCATCCACCTGGTCCTCACCCACCTTGTATATTGGACTTGTTGTCATGTTTCAGACACATCCATCCACCTGGCCCTCATCCACTTTCTCTACTGGGCTTCTTGTCATGTTTCAGACACATCCATCCACCTGGTCCTCACCCACCTTGTATAGTGGGCTTGTTGTCATGTTTCAGACACATCCATCCACCTGGTCCTCACCCACCTTGTATAGTGGGCTTGTTGTCATCTTTCAGACACATCCATCCACCTGGTCCTCACCCAACTTGTATATTGGGCTTGTTGTCATGTTTCAGACACATCCAACCACCTGGTCCTCACCCACCTTGTATAGTGGGCTTGTTGTCATGTTTCAGACACATCCAACCACCTGGTCCTAATCCCCCTTGTATAGTGGGCTTGTTGTCATGTTTCAGACACATCCAACCACCTGGTCCTCACCCACATTGTATATTGGACTTGTTGTCATGTTTCAGACACATCCATCCACCTGGTCCTCACCCACCTTGTATATTGGACTTGTTGTCATGTTTCAGACACATCCATCCACCTGGCCCTCATCCACTTTCTCTACTGGGCTTCTTGTCATGTTTCAGACACATCCATCCACCTGGTCCTCACCCACCTTGTATAGTGGGCTTGTTGTCATGTTTCAGACACATCCATCCACCTGGTCCTCACCCACCTTGTATAGTGGGCTTGTTGTCATGTTTTAGACACATCCATCCACCTGGTCCTCATCCACATTGTATAGTGGGGTTTTGTCATGTTTCAGACACATCCATCCATCTGGTCCTCACCCACCTTGTATATTGGACTTGTTGTCATGTTTCAGACACATCCAACCACCTGGTCTTCACCCACCGTGTATAGTGGGCTTGTTGTCATGTTTCAGACACATCCAACCACCTGGTCCTCACCCCCCTTGTATATTGGACTTGTTGTCATGTTTCAGACACATCCATCCACCTGGTCCTCATCCACCTTGTCTATTGGGCTTGTTGTCATGTTTCAGGCACATCCATCCACCTGGTCCTCACCCAACTTGTATATTGGACTTGTTGTCATGTTTCAGACACATCCATCCACCTGGTCCTCACTCACCTTGTATAGTGGGCTTGTTGTCATGTTTCAGACACACCCATCCACCTGGTCCTCACCCCCCTTGTATAGTGGGCTTGTTGTCATGTTTCAGACACATCCAACCACCTGGTCTTCACCCACCGTGTATAGTGGGCTTGTTGTCATGTTTCAGACACATCCAACCACCTGGTCCTCACCCCCCTTGTATATTGGACTTGTTGTCATGTTTCAGACACATCCATCCACCTGGTCCTCATCCACCTTGTCTATTGGGCTTGTTGTCATGTTTCAGGCACATCCATCCACCTGGTCCTCACCCACCTTGTATATTGGGCGTGTTGTCATGTTTCAGACACATCCATCCACCTGGTCCTCACCCACCGTGTATAGTGGGCTTGTTGTCATGTTTCAGACACATCCAACCACCTGGTCCTCACCCCCCTTGTATATTGGACTTGTTGTCATGTTTCAGACACATCCATCCACCTGGTCCTCATCCACCTTGTCTATTGGGCTTGTTATCATGTTTCAGGCACATCCATCCACCTGGTCCTCACTCACCTTGTATATTGGGCGTGTTGTCATGTTTCAGACACATCCATCCACCTGGTCCTCACCCACCTTGTATATTGGACTTGTTGTCATGTTTCAGACACATCCATCCACATGGTCCTCATCCACTTTCTCTACTGGGCTTCTTGTCATGTTTCAGACACATCCATCCACCTGGTCCTCACCCAACTTGTATATTGGACTTGTTGTCATGTTTCAGACACATCCATCAACCTGGTCCTCACCCACCTTGTATAGTGGACTTGTTGTCATGTTTCAGACACATCCATCCACCTGGTCCTCACCCACCTTGTATAGTGGGCTCGTTGTCATGTTTCAGACACATCCATCCACCTGGTCCTCTCCCACATTGTATAGTGGGGTTGTTGTCATGTTTCAGACACATCCAACCACCTGGTCTTCACCCACCTTGTATAGTGGGCTTGTTGTCATGTTTCAGACACATCCAACCACCTGGTCCTCACCCCCCTTGTATATTGGACTTGTTGTCATGTTTCAGACACATCCATCCACCTGGTCCTCATCCACCTTGTCTATTGGGCTTGTTGTCATGTTTCAGGCACATCCATCCACCTGGTCCTCAACCAACTTGTATATTGGACTTGTTGTCATGTTTCAGACACATCCATCCACCTGGTCCTCACTCACCTTGTATAGTGGGCTTGTTGTCATGTTTCAGACACATCCATCCACCTGGTCCTCACCCCCCTTGTATAGTGGGCTTGTTGTCATGTTTCAGACACATCCAACCACCTGGTCTTCACCCACCGTGTATAGTGGGCTTGTTGTCATGTTTCAGACACATCCAACCACCTGGTCCTCACCCACCTTGTATATTGGACTTGTTGTCATGTTTCAGACACATTCATCCACCTGGTCCTCATCCACCTTGTCTATTGGGCTTGTTGTCATGTTTCAGGCAGATCCATCCACCTGGTCCTCACCCACCTTGTATATTGGGCGTGTTGTCATGTTTCAGACACATCCATCCACCTGGTCCTCACCCACCGTGTATAGTGGGCTTGTTGTCATGTTTCAGACACATCCAACCACCTGGTCCTCACCCCCCTTGTATATTGGACTTGTTGTCATGTTTCAGACACATCCATCCACCTGGTCCTCATCCACTTTGTCTATTGGGCTTGTTGTCATGTTTCAGGCACATCCATCCACCTGGTCCTCACCCACCTTGTATATTGGGCGTGTTGTCATGTTTCAGACACATCCATCCACCTGGTCCTCACCCACCTTGTATAGTGGGCTTGTTGTCATGTTTCAGACACATCCATCCACCTGGTCCTCACCCACCTTGATGAGTGTGACCACCAGTTTCGTGACAGAGCCAATCTGCCCAACTTGTACCTGTCGAGTAAAGTACAGGAAGCTGTCAGGTTGATGTCAAAGAAGACTGGCGTACTCCCCTCGTTTATCAGTTTCGTCAGGAACTACTTTCAGGAAACAGACGCGGATGTGATCTCTAAACTCCAGCATCTCAGGGTTCTTCAGAGAATCCTGTCCAGCTGCGTGGACCAAGAAGAGAAGAAACTCAACCAAGAGCAGCAAGAAAGAATGAACAGGGAAATCAGCAAACATGATCAGAACAGACGTACTCTCGGTCCTCCTACCTATGGGAGTGTTAAAGCAATGTTGGCCGTGTTACTTATGGCCTTAATGGTTGCAGTCATGATCAAACTTTGCAACCTTCCTCCACCTGCATAGACATACTGAGATGTTGTATACGTACTGATTATCTTTCAAGGTGTTGTTGTTGTCTTTACCTAACGCAGCACGCGGCAATAGTTTAGCTGTATGACGTTGATCTTACAGTGTACGTAAGGCAAAACGTTGAAAACATACATGTATTGATGTATATTAATGCTTACGTAGTGTAATCTTCAGTGTAATTGCAAACTGTTCCACTGTTATGACCTCGATTTGATGCAATTGTTTGATAGGAATTACTTAGAAGTTGACGGATGGCAAGATAGACACAATTCTATTGATAACAAGTTCTTTAATACTGTGAAAAGCGACGTTTCGGTATCGATTCTTATAGCGTTGTCAAGCAAGACTGGAGAAGAAGAAGAAGTTGTTATCCATAAAATCTTCTTGATTTGATTGTTACAAAATGTGTCTTTCATATACAATTAGAAGTAGATTTGATTCAATTGTTTCACAGGCATAACTTAGAAGTTGACAGATGACAAGATAGACACAATTCTATGGATAACAACTTCTTTAATACTGTGAAAAGCGACGTTTCGGTATTGATCCTTATAGCGTTGTCAAGCAAGCCTGGAGAAGAAGAGGAAGAAGTTGTTATCCATAAAATCTTCTCGATTTGATTGTTACAAAATGTGTCTTTCATATACAATTAGTAGTAGTTCCTTCCTTATTGAATTTGGTGCATATATATTTAAACGGTTGGTTTAACTCTTTTCACATTTAGATAATTACAATTGCCTTATTGTGAAAGTGGTGATGGCATAGGTTGTATCTAATATTTCCTGTAGGGAGAATGTTTGTGTTTATTTACTCGATTTTCTTTACTCTCAACTATGATACAATATGCTAGAGCTGATGCCCTATCGTTGTTATCCACATGTTAACGATTCATACCTAATCAATTGGTACAGTAGTGCTTTGGTAATTAGGTGGTGGGGTAGCCTAGTATTTAAAGCGCTCACAAGAAACACCAAAAACCAAGGTTCCATTCCCCGCATGGGTACAATCGGTGAAGCCCATTTCTGGTGTCCCACGATGTGATATTGCTGGAATCTTGGTAAAACCTGCATAAATCTATACTCACTCACTCACTCACCCCTTGCTAACTTTGTTAGAATCTACACCCCAGAAAGTCACTACTGAAGTTACTACTATTCAGGAAGTTGTTCCATACAGTATGTCACCTCAACCCGGCTCCTGCTAAGTTCATGTTATTAGGCCTCACAAGTGATTATCAATGTGTTACTAGAGACTTCCAGTTAGATTGTTATATTTGAGAGTGGGACTATTTTTGTATGTCCCAAAGTATGTGCAGGTTATCTCACCTCATGAGAAAGTAATCCTTTTCAATTGCTTTTGAACACATACATTTAATATATGTCAAACTCCTTGCCAGTACATGGATGGATGGAACTCGACAAACATACCAGAAATTACATAGAAAATGTGTTTCATGATGCTGTTGTCGCCACATGTTCCAAGTGAATTACAAACTAAAAGCCTTCCTGGCTCTGGCGTTCTAGAAATAATTGCCACACTGATGCATCGGCTTGGATTGTCTGCACTAGTTTTGCCACATCGATGCATCATCATCATATTAATATTTTGTATTTAATTCATTTTACTCTTCAACGTTCAGTCTGACATATATGACAGTATTTGGTAAATTTAGAGACTTATAGTGAAGTGAAACAAATGCGTGTCATAACACCAAATCCTTTTTAATGTTCTTTTTGCTTACTCGCAGTGCAAGGAAAATAAAGTAGATTAACATCATTGAGAAAAGGAAAATGTGTTTTGTTTGATGATGCTGGTCCTACGATTAATGTTTGTTCTCCATGAAGGCATGTACGGAAGAAAGTAATATCATAATCCCCTGGTGTTTTATGAAAGGGTCAAGCACCTCATGCATTCACTATTATCGGGAACACAAGAGACTTGTGATGAGTATTATTTTTAAGCCGCTCGTTTCTTGGAATAACTGTAATGTGTATTTTTCACAAGGTTTCTACACCTGGGTTCAGTTGTTGGGATCTTATAATGCACATAGCACACCTGAGGCTGTTACTATGGCAACAAAATGCATCTCTTTGTTCATGTTGATATTTGTGTTATATAAATGTATATTACATCGACATTATCGCGAAATACTAATTCAGAATTTGATCGTAGCAACAACACATGTTTTTTTTGTCAAATACATGTGTCTCTGTCATCCCGGTAATGACTGCCTCCGTGGTAGAGCGTCCGCCAGGAGAGCGGAAGGTCAGGGGTTCGATCCCCGATCACGTCATGCCAAAAGACGTTGAAAGATGGTACTTCTTGTTACCCTGTCTGGCGCTCGCCATTAAGGGGCTAAAACAAGGACTGGTCAGCTCGGAGTCAGTATACTGTGTCTGAGTGGGGTATTGATGTTAATCTGCGGCATGGTATCTCAGTGAGCTAACACTACAAATCGGCATCAGTCCAGGCTAGTACAAGCAGCCACTCACATACATACACGTGCATGCACGTCGCTATATAAGTTCAAGAGTATTAAACGCGACGTTAAACCCCATTTCACCTTTCACCTTACATCCCGGTAATGCCCCAGACTGGCAAGGAGAGCTGTACTGAACGACAGACAATGTTTGCTTGATACACTTCAGGAATTTCCATGTTGAGCTGGAGAAGATTGTGTCAGTGTGTCAATGTGTTCGCAATCAGTTGCACAATAGTGAGGAGAAATGACATGCAGTTATAGCTTTATGTACGTGTATTGTAGCACATCGTGTCCGTAAAGGGTGTCACAGCATAAAACACGATGAATAACGACACACCAGACACTATTGTGACCACGCATACATGTTTATATCATACACCCTGCTTGTGCAGTCACCTGTGCAAAACTTGGCAGGTTGTTTATGAGATATTACCACATACTTGAGAAGCACATTGTTGAGTATATACAGGATGTTCATGAAAGCATGTTAAATAAACCAACCTTGTGTATTTGCTATGATTATCCTTATTCAAATGATCCCATTCTCGACACAATCGCTGTATTCTAGTACCGTGCTTGGCATTAGGAACCTTCTGTCTGTTACCATCGCCACAAACAACACAAGGATATGTAGACACAATATACACTTGCCATTGCTTTCAAAGAGATATGACTAATGAAATGGTCTATGAATTGTTACTAAAACGGTAATTCCGAAATACTGAAGTTATAATCACACCATTCAATACAAATACATTCCTACATTTTGTTTATTAACATTGTATATACCTGTATTTGCTCAAAACGACAAAATAAAGGACGATTTCCGACCTGCTTCAAAGCATGCCTAGGTTATGACAACCTAACCCTAACCCTAACCCTAACCCTAACTTTAAACCCTAACCCTAACCCTAACCTTAACCCTAAGCTAAATCAGTTCATGATATTTTCAGACTCTCTTTCGTGTCTTCAGGCTATACACATATGTCATGTACACATCAACTCTCAAACTAACTTGTTTAATTATATAATGCCCTAGCTACTAGCCATTTTCTGTTGTTACCCAGACATGTTGGAATCGTTAGTAACTCAGCAGCAGCCCTCGATAAATCTGAAACACCGCCTCGGATCCCATACGGTGATTATAAGCCCCTATATGTTACATAAGATCTGATGCAAAAGAAGTGGGAAAAAGAACCAGCTATCAGTTACACCTACTTGTGTTGTTAGTCCAGATTTGAAGAGGTAATAATACGACGATGTCTTACTGGTCATAGCAGCTAAACACATGAATATTTATTGAAAGCTGAGGATCATCAATTCTGTTTCCCTCGTCATGTGAGACTCAAAGTCAAGCATGTCCTACTTGGCTGTATTGACATTGCCACCACAAGGGATCAATATTTCAAATTATCATCTGTCACGGATCTTTTTTAACGGTTTTAGTGCTTGATTTTTAAAATAAATTAAATGTTTTGCAAATGTTTGATTAGTATGTTTTGTAAAAAATCTAAATATCGCATTAAAATTAGTTAATTAAATTTGCAACTGAGATTGTTAGTGGCTGTGTTATTGAAGAGGGTTAAAGTACTGCAAAATTATTGTCCCGTGTGAGGTTACGTAAGTTTCACATCACTCAAAGTATATTAAGATCTACCCATTTTTAACCGTAGTTTATTTGTTAGTTTTAATAGATGGCTAAGACTGACTATAATCGGTGCTGGCTGAAGGGATGGCATGTATACTGGTGGGGAACGGTGCATGAAGCAGAAGTATGGTAAGTCCCTACGGTCGCTAGTATGGTGGCATAACTTTGGTTGCTGGAGATCTCCAGCTCGTCTTTATCATGTATTATTATGTAAAGTGATATCATTTTATTGTTTCATACACTGGGATTTTTTATGTCCTTTTCTGACAGGCTTTTAAAAAAATAATGTCTAAACATATTTCGTATTGATGTCTAAATTGTTGTTGTCACGATATAGCTGAAACACTGCTGATGTCACTTTAAATCTAAACTCACTCACTCACTTGTTAACTCATGACAGAGTCTTAAGGTCTCGGAAGGACAGGTCTGGCTATAACCGAAAGATTTGATTGTTTCGGATTGCGATCTGAGTTTAAAGACTTTACAGGGAAGGGTGGTAACTCCGAAGTTGGAACGGCGGTTCGATGGGTCCGGTGTGCCTCGCTACCTTGAAGTTACCACGTTGTAGGCATTTGGGGGTCAGAAACTTTGTAAGTATGATTATGTTAAGTGAGCAACATGTTCATCTATCCAACAATTGCATAATGTAAACCTGACATTGCCAAATTCAACAATAATGTGCAGTTATATCTAACCATGTTAACATGCCTGGACCACGTGGGCTAGCCTGAAATGGTGTTACATGTTTTCGTTAGTTTTACCTAAGAAGCACTTCTGTTCACTGTGGATTAAATTATTATTATTATTATTATTATTATTATAATTATAATTATTCAAGGTAATTACATTCAAGGTAAAGTTTAAGTATCTTGCATATTTAATACAATATTTGAATATCTAGGCTTAGAAACATTTTATTTGTTTTAGCTTGAACCGACGACTAGGAATACAATGTACAAAACACTGCGGTGTAAACAGAATGAAGAAGTAAAAATCGAGTACAAGAAACAATGCCCTTTTGTTGTGCCTACACTTTCATTCAGGCAACTGAGCTCAAGTATTGTACACTCTTCATTCACAAACTAAACTTAAATCACAAAACGCTTACACTTGGGCATGACCAGGTGGCCGAGTATTAAACAGAAACAGCTGCAAATGAATTATCATTATATGTCTTGA